CTTTTTTTTTTTTTTTTTTTAAGCTGTTCAGTTTTTATTGAACATGTTACAAAATGAGGTTTAGTTGAAAAACCCAAAGCCCATGTCGTCCTCTGATTCCTCCTTCTTTCTTTGCTTCCACCTTCCTCTCCTCAGCTGGCGCAGCAGGGGTGGAGGGCACAGGACCACCTGCAGGCACAGCGCCTGCCATGGGGGGGGGGGGAGCTCCAGCCCCTACATAGCAGATGAGGCTCTAGAAGTTGACACTGGCCAGGGCCTTTGCAAACAAGCCAGGCCAAAAAGGTTCAACACTGACACCAGCCTCTTTAATGAGGGCATTGATCTTATCCTCCGTCAAGGTCACCTCGTCCTCCTCCTCGTGCAAGATAAGGGCAGAGTAGATGCGCCCGGAGGTGAGCGCGGAGACGAGGCCACAATGCTGTCAGGCACGGTGCTAGTCGACGGAAGAAGTGAAGGCCTTACCCCAACGTGGCCTTAGCTTCCTCGGAAGAACCAAGCACCTTGGTGGAGGCTGAGGAAAGGATGCCCTCATTTCCTTATTTCCCCCAAGCCTCCTCAAATCCTTATTATTCACCCACAAACTATGACCAAACCAACAAGTAAGCAGGGAGATAAAAATTTAAAGTCAAGAATGAGCTAGAGAGGACATTACTGCATTTGTCACTTCAAAAGAAATACCCTATAAGGTCACTTGGTAAGCGGGTCAGTCTACTAGCCCACACGCTGGACTGTGGTGTTATGAGCACATTGATCCTTTTCAGGAAGGAAGAGGATGGAAATCAAGAACAAATTCTAGCAAAACAACAGGAAGCTTTAAATTATTCATGAGTTTGTGAATAACTACATACTACCATTTATCTACTAAATGTTCCATCTCTTCAACCCTGCATATTTAAAAAAACATTCCACTTTATTTCTGCAGGTAATATCAACTCTGTGCATACTTCCACCACACATTCACCTATGTACTAAACTGCTTTGATCCTGAAGTTCACGTTCAAGGTGGCTGTCCTAATCTAGGCTCTCTGCAAAAGGGTTCTGCTCCAACTTCAACTGTCATTTCAACTATAGTTGAAATAAATTACAGTTTAGTAATTCATTTTTTATCTACCTTTCCAAATATACCTAAGTTCTTGATTACCATAAAAAAGTAACACTCTTGGGCTTTAAAGTGACTTTCCCATCAACTGTCACTTTATCTACTACACATCCCTCTCTGTTCCACTGAGGCAAGCCTGTAGTGGACAAACAAGGAGAATGCATCTGAAGTGCCATGCTTTCACCCCAGTGCTACTGGTACCATCTCTGCCCCCAGCAAAAGTACTGAGTTCTGTCCCACAGGTCATGCCAAGTTCTAAGTATACACTGACACCTGGATCAGTAAGGTGTACAGCTGGCCCAATACATATGGCATACTGCAGGTGCTGCCTTCAGTCCTTCACAGGCCCAACGGTAGAAAGTGACGATGTGGGTTTCCTGAGGGCAGGAGGGTTTACTGTTGGGAGCTGGAATGATTGTCAGTCTACTGGCACAGCAGACCAGACAACTAAAGAATATGGCAGAAAGCATGAGGAGTTACCACATAAGTACAGTTTACAACTTTCATATAATGAATTAGAAAGGGGATAGATTTCAATCCAGCTGTGTGGCTACTTGGGAAAAGTTTCTCTCACTGAAACTTCAGGTCCTTACAAGGCAGGATTCATGGCAGGATACACTCACTTGCCCAGAATCAACCATTTCCCAGGATGAGCTGGAAGGTGGGAAAAGGGCAGCAGGAAAAGACAGTAGGGCTCAGCCTCTGGGGCCAGGTCCACAGGTCTGCACACCTTCCCATGCACCTCTGGAAACTGGAGTGGACACTTAGTGCCATTTCAAACGCACAACCTAGGACTGAGCCACAAGTCTATCCACGGCCACAGGGGACAAACACAAACTATGCCACCATCACCTCCAAAATGCAGAGGTTCTAGAGAATACCTACAAATATGCACAGACAGTGCAGGAGACTGAACACTTGAGCCAACCTCGGCCACTTACCAAACCATTAAAAAGACCTAATGCTTTGGGCCTCATCTCTGAGATTAGAGAATATAAGAATCCACTTTCCAAAGGGGTCAGGGAGATGGCTCAGTAGGATAAGCGCTTGACTGGCAAACACAGGGATCTGAGTTCAATCCCCGGTTCCGCAAAAAAAAAAAAAAAGAATCCACTGTCCAGATCTGCTAAGAGGTTGGATGAGTTACCTGACCACTGGCTTACATACGTGCTCAGGAAATGTAGCTGCCAGTAATAGTAGCATGATCCACACAAATGCAGAGCTCCCTGGGTAAGGAAGTCACTTCATGGCAAGTGGACTTCTTCCAAGGTTCCTAAACAAGACCTAGTTTATGAACACATTCTTTCATGAAACACAGAATTCAAAGTATTTTTATTCCTTTATAAACCATTTAATGAAGAAAAGTCAAAATTCAATACCCTATAATCCCACTTTATGTGCCAAAAAATGTCCCCAAGAGCCAGGTATGGTAGTACATACTTGTAATTCCAGTGACTTGGGAGGCTAGGAAAGAGCAATGCAAGTTCAAGGGTAGCACAGGCAACTTGGCGAGATTCTGTCTCAAAATATAAATAAAATATAAAAGTTGAGGATACAACGCTTAGGTTCAATTCCCAGCTCTACATGTGAGAAAAGAGAAGAAAATGTCACGAAGTCCAGGTCAGCCAGGAGAGCCCAGAAAGGCAGTGAGGTATCCCTCAGCTTTTTATACATCTAGGAAGGAACAGGATACAAACGAACCATCCAGGGTAGCTCCCTAGTGGAAGATAATTAAAGCTCTCAAGAAAATGCAATTAAAGCTCAAGAAAGAAAACAAAAACAAAAATCCACCCAGTGTTCCAGCCAGCCCCACCCCTGGGGCACGCCGAGATAGGAGATGGCGATTGAGACTGGGCGTGGTGGTGTGTGCCAGTAATCCCAGGGGTGGCGCTTGGGAGGCTGAAAACAGGAGGATCAGTACGAGAAAGATCTCCATAATGAGACCCTGAACACCCTATAGACCCTGTACAAACACATTTAAAAAAATCCAAGCCAGCAACCCACGGTATGAAGGAAAAAAACCTCACAATGTGTTGTACACTTCCAGGATTCTTTTTTTTTTTTTTTTTTTTTTTTTTCCAGGATTCCTTCAGCACTGATAAAACAACATAGGCCAGCCTTGGTCACCTGGCCCTGAAGCCCACTTTCCCTTGGCCAAATGTGGGATCCATCCTTTGGATGTGTGGTGCAAGTCTGCAGTATTCCTGGGCTTACAGCACCTACAGAGTTGATGTCACCTGGTGTGATAGATGTCCCTCACAAAGCCTCAAGTGGTCATCAGGAGCAAGCTTTTCAGAGATGGCTGAATCTAGAGTTTGTGGTTGGTTCATTGTCTAGTGCTGGGATTGGAGTTGTGCGTGCAACACCCATCCTAGGGTGGGTAGCCTGCATCAAAGTATAAGAGAGACAAAGAGGCTAGCTTTCCCCTTTGGTGTTTTTTCCTCTTTCTTTTCTTTTCTTTTTTTTTTTTTGGTCTTTTTGAGACAGGATCTCACTATGCAGTTCAGGTTAGCCTTGAGCTCACTTTGTAGCCCAGGCTGATTTCCTCCTGCCTCAGTCTCCTGAGTGCTGGAAATACAGGTGTGACCTACCACATCCAGCTGCCCCTCCCGTTTTCCCTCTT